GCAGCATGGGAGGCCTGTAATAGGGGCCCATGGCAGACAGCTAGGGGCCTGGCAGCAGCTATGAGGAGGCCCGGGGGCAGGAGGGGCGGTACAGCTGCAGCAGCTAGTATGGGAGGCCCGTAATCTGCCAGCACCCTATGTCAAAAAATTCAAACACACAGCAGTGTGAGGAGACCTGAAAGTGGCACATGGCAGAGTGTGGCGATGGAGACAGCAGCAATGGGAGGCCGTACAGGGACCCCATGGCAGAGACTCTGGACCTGGCAGCAGCATGAGGAGGCGGTATAGGGGCCCATGGCAGATTAGGGGCCTGGCAGCAGCTATGGGAGGCCCGTAATCTGCCAGCACCCTATGTCAAAAAATTCAACACACCAGCAGTGTGAGGAGACCTGAAAGTGGCACATGGCAGAGTGTGGCGATGGAGACAGCAGCAATGGGAGGCCGTACAGGGACCCATGGCAGACTCTGGACTTGGCAGCAGCATGAGGAGGCGGTAATAGGGCATGCCCATGGCAGATTAGGGGCCTGGCAGCAGCTATGGGACCCGTAATCTGCCAGCACCCTATGTCAAAAAATGGGTGCAGTGGGTGAGGAGTCACAGAGGAGGCTGAAAGTGGCCTGGCAGCAGATGCTCCTGGAGACTCCTGTAAGTGGACCCATTTCACTCAATGGAACACACCAGCACAGGGCCTCCTCAGGGGCCATGAGAGACTCTGGACCTTCAGCAGCATGAGGAGGCGGTATATGGGGCCCATGGCAGATTAGGGGCCTGGCAGCAGCTATGGGAGGCCCGTAATCTGCCAGCACCCTATGTCAAAAAAATTCAACACACCAGCAGTGTGTGAGGAGACCTGAAAGTGGCACATGGCAGAGTGTGGCGATGAGACAGCAGCAATGGGGAGGCCGTACAGGGACCCATGAGACTCTGGACCTGGCAGCAGCATGAGGGGCCCATAGGGGCCCATGGCAGATTAGGGGCCTGGCAGCAGCTATGGGAGGCCCGTAATCTGCCAGCACACCTATGAAAAAAATTGAACACACCCAGCAGTGTGAGGAGACCTGAAAGTGGCACATGGCAGAGTGTGGCGATGGAGACAGCAGCAATGGGGAGGCCGTACAGGGACCCAGCATGAGAGACTCTGGACCTGGCAGCAGCATGAGGAGGCGGTATATAGGGGCCCATGGCAGATTAGGGGCCTGGCAGCAGCTATGGGAGGCCCGTAATCTGCCAGCACCCTATGTCAAAAAATTCAACACACCAGCAGTGTGTGAGGAGACCTGAAAGTGGCACATGGCAGAGTGTGGCGATGGAGACAGCAGCAATGGGAGGCCGTACAGGGACCCCATGAGAGACTCTGGACCTGGCAGCAGCATGAGGAGGCGGTATAGGGGCCCATGGCAGATTAGGGGCCTGGCAGCAGCTATAGGAGGCCCGTAATCTGCCAGCACCCTATGTCAAAAAATTCAACACACCAGCAGTGTGAGGAGACCTGAAAGTGGCACATGGCAGAGTGTGGCGATGGAGACAGCAGCAATGGGAGGCCGTACAGGGACCCATGACAGACACTCTGGACTTGGCAGCAGCATGAGGAGGCGGTATAGGGGCCCATGGCAGATTAGGGGCCTGGCAGCAGCTATGGGAGGCCCGTAATCTGCCAGCACCCTATGTCAAAAAATTCAACACACCAGCAGTGTGTGAGGAGACCTGAAAGTGGCACATGGCAGAGTGTGGCGATGGAGACAGCAGCAATGGGAGGCCGTACAGGGACCCATGACAGACTCTGGACTTGGCAGCAGCATGAGGAGGCGGTATATAGGGGCCCATGGCAGATTAGGGGCCTGGCAGCAGCTATGGGAGGCCCGTAATCTGCCAGCACCCTATGTCAAAAAATTCAACACACCAGCAGTGTGAGGAGACCTGAAAGTGGCACATGGCAGAGAGACACGATGGACCTGGCAGCAGCATGGGAGGCGGTACAGGGGCCCATGAGAGACTCTGGCAGATTAGGGGCCTGGGGCAGCAGCTTATGGGCCTGGCAGCAGCTAGGCCCGTAATCTGCCAGCACCCTATGTCAAAAAATTCAACACACACAGCAGTGTGAGGAGACCTGAAAGTGGCACATGGCAGAGTGTGGCGATGGAGACAGCAGCAATGGGAGGCCGTACAGGGACCCATGACAGACTCTGGACTTGGCAGCAGCATGAGGAGGCGGTATAGGGCCCATGGCAGATTAGGGGCCTGGCAGCAGCTATGGGAGGCCCGTAATCTGCCAGCACCCTATGTCAAAAAAATTGAACACACCAGCAGTGTGTGAGGAGACCTGAAAGTGGCACATGGCAGAGTGTGGCGATGGAGACAGCAGCAATGGGAGGCCGTACAGGGACCCATGAGAGACTCTGGACCTGGCAGCAGCATGAGGAGGCGGTATAGGGGCCCATGGCAGATTAGGGGCCTGGCAGCAGCTATGGGAGGCCCGTAATCTGCCAGCACCCTATGTCAAAAAATTGAACACACCAGCAGTGTGAGGAGACCTGAAAGTGGCACATGGCAGAGTGTGGCGATGGAGACAGCAGCAATGGGAGGCCGTACAGGGACCCATGAGAGACTCTGGACTTGGCAGCAGCATGAGGAGGCGGTATATAGGGGGCCCATGGCAGATTAGGGGCCTGGCAGCAGCTATGGGAGGCCCGTAATCTGCCAGCACCCTATGTCAAAAAATTCAACACACCAGCAGTGTGTGAGGAGACCTGAAAGTGGCACATGGCAGAGTGTGGCGATGGAGACAGCAGCAATGGGAGGCCGTACAGGGACCCATGAGAGACTCTGGACTTGGCAGCAGCATGAGGAGGCGGTATAGGGGCCCATGGCAGATTAGGGGCCTGGCAGCAGCTATGGGAGGCCCGTAATCTGCCAGCACCCTATGTCAAAAAATTGAACAACACACCAGCAGTGTGAGGAGACCTGAAAGTGGCACATGGCAGAGTGTGTGGCGATGGAGACAGCAGCAATGGAGGCCGTACAGGGACCCATGAGAGACTCTGGACCTGGCAGCAGCATGAGGAGGCGGTATAGGGGCCCATGGCAGATTAGGGGCCTGGCAGCAGCTATGGGAGGCCCGTAATCTGCCAGCACCCTATGTCAAAAAATTCAACACACCAGCAGTGTGAGGAGACCTGAAAGTGGCACATGGCAGAGTGTGGCGATGGAGACAGCAGCAATGGGAGGCCGTACAGGGACCCATGAGAGACTCTGGACTTGGCAGCAGCATGAGGAGGCGGTATAGGGGCCCATGGCAGATTAGGGGCCTGGCAGCAGCTATGGGAGGCCCGTAATCTGCCAGCACCCTATGTCAAAAAATTGAACACACCAGCAGTGTGTGTGGAGGAGACCTGAAAGTGGCACATGGCAGAGTGTGGCGATGGAGACAGCAGCAATGGGAGGCCGTACAGGGACCCATGACAGACTCTGGACCTGGCAGCAGCATGAGGAGGCGGTATATAGGGGCCCATGGCAGATTAGGGCCTGCCTGGCAGCAGCTATGGAGGCCCGTAATCTGCCAGCACCCTATGTCAAAAAATTCAACACACCAGCAGTGTGTGAGGAGACCTGAAAGTGGCACATGGCAGAGTGTGGCGATGGAGACAGCAGCAATGGGGGGCCGTACAGGGACCCATGAGAGACTCTGGACTTGGCAGCAGCATGAGGAGGCGGTATATAGGGGCCCATGGCAGATTAGGGGCCTGGCAGCAGCTATGGGAGGCCCGTAATCTGCCAGCACCCTATGTCAAAAAATTGAACACACCAGCAGTGTGTGAGGAGACCTGAAAGTGGCACATGGCAGAGTGTGGCGATGGAGACAGCAGCAATGGGAGGCCGTACAGGGACCCATGAGAGACTCTGGACTTGGCAGCAGCATGAGGAGGCGGTATAGGGGCCCATGGCAGATTAGGGGCCTGGCAGCAGCTATGGGAGGCCCGTAATCTGCCAGCACCCTATGACAAAAAATGGAACACACCAGCAGTGTGAGGAGACCTGAAAGTGGCACATGGCATGTGGCGATGAGACAGCACAATGGTGGGACCCATGAGACAGCTGGACCTGGCAGCAGCATGAGGAGGCGGTACAGGGGCCCATGGCAGATTAGGGGCCTGGCAGCAGCTATGGGAGCCCGTAATCTGCCAGCACCCTATGTCAAAAAATTGAACACACCAGCAGTGTGTGAGGAGACCTGAAAGTGGCACATGGCAGAGTGTGGCGATGGAGACAGCAGCAATGGGAGGCCGTACAGGGACCCATGAGAGACTCTGGACTTGGCAGCAGCATGAGGAGGCGGTATAGGCCCATGGCAGATTAGGGGCCTGGCAGCAGCTATGGGAGGCCCGTAATCTGCCAGCACCCTATGTCAAAAAAATTCAACACACCAGCAGTGTGTGAGGAGACCTGAAAGTGGCACATGGCATGATGGACACTGTGGAGACCTGGCAGCAGCATGAGGAGGCGGTACAGGGGCCCATGGCAGATTAGGGGCCTGGCAGCAGCTATGGGAGGCCCGTAATCTGCCAGCACCCTATGTCAAAAAAATGGAACACACCAGCAGTGTGAGGAGACCTGAAAGTGGCACATGGCAGAGTGTGGCGATGGAGACAGCAGCAATGGGAGGCCGTACAGGGACCCATGACAGACTCTGGACTTGGCAGCAGCATGAGGAGGCGGTATAGGGGCCCATGGGCAGATTAGGGCCTGGCAGCAGCTATGGGAGGCCCGTAATCTGCCAGCACCCTATGTCAAAAAAATTGAACACACCAGCAGTGTGTGAGGAGACCTGAAAGTGGCACATGGCAGAGTGTGGCGATGGAGACAGCAGCAATGGGAGGCCGTACAGGGACCCATGAGAGACTCTGGACTTGGCAGCAGCATGAGGAGGCGGTATATAGGGGCCCATGGCAGATTAGGGGCCTGGCAGCAGCTATGGGAGGCCCGTAATCTGCCAGCACCCTATGTCAAAAAATGGAACACACCAGCAGTGTGTGAGGAGACCTGAAAGTGGCACATGGCAGAGTGTGGCGATGGAGACAGCAGCAATGGGAGGCCGTACAGGGACCCATGAGAGACTCTGGACTTGGCAGCAGCATGAGGAGGCGGTATAGGGGCCCATGGCAGATTAGGGGCCTGGCAGCAGCTATGGGAGGCCCGTAATCTGCCAGCACCCTATGACAAAAAATGGAACACACCAGCAGTGTGTGAGGAGACCTGAAAGTGGCACATGGCAGAGTGTGGCATGAGACAGCAGCAATGGGAGGCCGTACAGGGACCCATGAGAGACTCTGGACTTGGCAGCAGCATGAGGAGGCGGTATAGGGGCCCATGGCAGATTAGGGGCCTGGCAGCAGCTATGGGAGGCCCGTAATCTGCCAGCACCCTATGTCAAAAAATGGAACACACCAGCAGTGTGTGAGGAGACCTGAAAGTGGCACATGGCAGAGTGTGGCGATGGAGACAGCAGCAATGGGAGGCCGTACAGGGACCCATGAGAGACTCTGGACTTCGCAGCAGCATGAGGAGGCGGTATAGGGGCCCATGGCAGATTAGGGGCCTGGCAGCAGCTATGGGAGGCCCGTAATCTGCCAGCACCCTATGACAAAAAATGGAACACACCAGCAGCAGTGTGTGAGGAGACCTGAAAGTGGCACATGGCATGAGACACTGTGGACCTGGCAGCAGCATGAGGAGGCGTACAGGGGCCCATGGCAGATTAGGGGCCTGGCAGCAGCTATGGGAGGCCCGTAATCTGCCAGCACCCTATGACAAAAAATGGAACACACCAGCAGTGTGTGAGGAGACCTGAAAGTGGCACATGGCAGAGTGTGGCGATGGAGACAGCAGCAATGGAGGCCGTACAGGGACCCATGAGAGACACTCTGGACTGTTATAGGGGCCCATGCTCCATCGCTGCCAAGCTGCCACCCTCTTCTCCTGATGATGCGGAAGCAATAGCCTGATGACGACGAGGCTGCCAAGTGCGATCAGCCTCATCATCATCAATTAGGGTCTCCGCCTCACTACTAGCCCCCTCGGCTGCGTGTGGGTCAGGAGACAGACCTGTCTCTAGACCGGCTACCGAGCCACTCTCCTCGCCACTACTTCTTCGCCTGGCTGCTGAAGAGGCGGATGTCTCCCCCCGTTCCTGACCGCCCTCTGTTAGCTCTTCCTCACTGTACTGGATGACACCGGGAGCACTGGCCTCTGGCTGCGAATAGTGCTGCCTCGACCCCTTCCTCTGCTGCCACGTCTGCTCGCTCCTTAAACATTGCCTCCTCTGCCACTCCTCTGCATGTTGTCTGACATACTCTTTAATTCAACGATTCTGTGTCCCTGAGTAACAATTCTGTGTCTGTCCCTGAGTAACAATTCTGTGTCCCTGAGTAACGTTTCTGTGGCCCTAAGTAACAGTTCTGTGGCCCTCAGTAACAATTCTGTGTCCCTCAGTAACAATTCTGTGTCCCTCAGTAACAATTCTGTGTCTGTCCCTGAGTAACAATTCTGTGTCTGTCCCTGAGTAACAATTCTGTGTCTGTCCCTGAGTAACAATTCTGTGTCCCTGTAACAATTCTGTGTCCCTCAGTAACAATTCTGTGTCCCTCAGTAACAATTCTGTGTCCCTCAGTAACAATTCTGTGTCCCTGAGTAACAATTCTGTGTCTGTCCCTGAGTAACAATTCTGTGTCCCTAAGTAACGTTTCTGTGCCCTAAGTAACGTTTCTGTTGCCCTAAGTAACGTTTCTGTGGCCCTAAGTAACGTTTCTGTGGCCTAAGTAACGATTCTGTGGCCCCTCAGTAACGATTCTGTGGCCCTCAGTAACAATTCTGTGTCCCTCAGTAACAATTCTGTGTCCCTGAGTAACAATTCTGTGTCTGTCCCTGAGTAACAATTCTGTGTCTGTCCCTGATAACAATTCTGTGTCCCTGAGTAATGTTTCTGTGGCCCTAAGTAACAGTTCTGTGGCCCTCAGTAACAATTCTGTGTCCCTCAGTAACAATTCTGTGTCCCTCAGTAACAATTCTGTGTCTGTCCCTGAGTAACAATTCTGTGTCTGTCCCTGAGTAACAATTCTGTGTCCCTGAGTGTCCCTAAACGTTTCTGTGTGGCCCTAAGTAACAGTTCTGTGTGCCCTCAGTAAACAATTCTGTGTCCCTCAGTAACAATTCTGTGTCTGTCCCTGAGTAACAATTCTGTGTCCCTGAGTAACGTTTCTGTGGCCCCTAAGTAACAATTCTGTGGCCCTCAGTAACAATTCTGTGTCCCTCAGTAACAATTCTGTGTCTGTCCCTCAGTAACAATTCTGTGTCTGTCCCTGAGTAACAATTCTGTGTCCCTCAGTAACAATTCTGTGTCCCTCAGTAACAATTCTGTGTCCCTCAGTAACAATTCTGTGTCCCTGAGTAACAATTCTGTGTCCCTGAGTAAGAATTCTGTGTCTGTCCCTGAGTAACAATTCTGTGTCTGTCCCTGAGTAACAATTCTGTGGCCCTAAGTAACGTTTCTGTGTGCCCTAAGTAACGTTCTGTGGCCCTAAGTAACGATTCTGTGGCCCTAAGTAACGTTTCTGTGGCCCTAAGTAACGTTTCTGTGGCCCTAAGTAACGGTTCTGTGTCCCTCAGTAACAATTCTGTGGCCCTCAGTAACAATTCTGTGTCCCTCAGTAACAATTCTGTGTCTGTCCCTAAGTAACAATTCTGTGGCCCTAAGTAACGTTTCTGTGGCCCTAAGTAACGATTCTGTGGCCCCTCAGTAACAAATCTGTGTCCCTCAGTAACAATTCTGTGTCTGTCCCTAAGTAACAATTCTGTGGCCCTAAGTAACGATTCTGTGGCCCTCAGTAACAATTCTGTGTCTGTCCCTAAGTAATAATTCTGTGGCCCTAAGTAACGTTTTCTGTGGCCCTAAGTAACGATTCTGTGGCCCTCAGTAACAAATCTGTGTCCCTCAGTAACAATTCTGTGTCTGTCCCTAAGTAACGTTTCTGTGGCCCTAAGTAACGTTTCTGTGGCCCTAAGTAACGATTCTGTGGCCCTCAGTAACAATTCTGTATCCCTCAGTAACAATTCTGTCTGTCCCTGAGTAACATTCTGTGTCCCTAAGTAACGTTTCTGTGGCCCTAACTAACGATTCTGTGACCCTAAGTAAACGTTTCTGTGGCCCTATGTAACGTTTCTATGGCCCTAAGTAACGATTCTGTGGCCCTAACTAACGTTTCTCTGTCCCTAAGTAACGTTTCTGTGTCCCTAACTCTCTCCCTGCATACAGCCAGGTCTGCCTCTGTTTGAATGACTGGAGGCAAATGGAGAATTCTAAAATGGCCGCTATTTATAGCTCGACCATTACACTGTGCTGGCCGGCTGGCTGCTGATTGGCTAATGCGATCACATGTCATGAATGAATGCATTATGGGTCAGCGCGCCTTGTCTGCGCGCCTTCCCAGACATCCCCGCTCCGTCGCCGCACATGTCGCCGCCATTTTAGGAAAAATTTCGATTCGCGCATCCGAAGTCTGCTTATTTTCGGATTCGACGCGAATCGAAATTTTCCTAATATTCGAAACGAATTCCACTTCACCTACTTCGATTCGCTCATCTCTAATCATAACACTGAAGTATAATGGCACTCTGTGTTAGCCGGGTACAGAGATTCACCACAGGATTTTTTTTTTCCTTTTAGGTCATGCTTGAGTAGAGGAAAGGAAAGAGAAAGAAAAGGGAAGGGGATTTGGGTACATATTAGAGAGCAGAAAAGGGCAAGATGCGCCAGTCGCAGTGTTCATGCTACATTCACTGAGCCCAACTCTTGGGGATAGACCGCAAGATACTTCTTATACCTATCTGGGAATTTAAATTTATGTCATTTATCACCACTCCCAATTGCCCCACTGTAGGAGGAATGCTATAATTTAGTAAGTGAATCAACAGGGATTGGCTATAGTTTCTTTTGAAAGAGAACTGAGATGAAGAGACAGGCTGCCAGCTTGTTCCTTAGGGACAGCCAAGTGAGTTCCTGGATCATGTCACATACTGCTCGAGGTCCCAAAGGGCTAAACCTGTGGACAAGACCAAAAGACAGGCAAGAAGGAGCTCTCTGAATCCACAGAATCTAGCAGTTACAATTGGCCTCAGGGAACATCCAATGTAGTCTCATAGGGACCCTGTACCACCAAATTAGCAATTTATAGTGGGACTCCTAGAATCAACTAGAAATGAAGGATGGAGTCACATTATGAATTGAGATTCCTTTCCCATTTACCCAGAAAAGGAGGGGTATAGTGTTCAGGAGGTGTAATGAGAGTAGTGTATGAGGTGAGAGATGGGGGGTTGGGGTTGGTTTACATAGTGTTTCAAATGTGGTGAGCTGAGTAAGGTCTAGTTCTCTGGGGCCACAAGGAGGTCAGAAAATGTCTGGCTTGCCAAGTATGGAGGGGGGGGGGGGGGGGGGCGGTCAACCATAGTTTGTATTTCTGCCAATGATTTCCAACCTCCTGTAATCCAAATGTATGGTAGTGGACTGGTTTATTGCTTTTAAGTTATAATATCGTTCAAAATGCTAATGGAACCCCTGGAGCTCTCTGAATTTTACATTTTAGAAAGTCAATATACTGTATAAACAAGTATGCTACCAAGTATCTAATGTGGGATGGGTAATGGGTATGCCAATTCTCCCCATACTCCAGAAGTCAGTATTTCTGAAGATTTGGCTGGCACTGCCGGAAAATTTACCATAATGATAAAGGTATTGTTTGGCAAAATATTGTACTCATTTTTCAATAGGTATCTTAGCTTTGTACATTATCCAAGCTACAGATTTATTTTATTATTATTATTAGTTTTGTATTGGCATTGTTTTAAGACAGTTTTAAGTGTTAAAACTTTGGAGTATTTCCAGTAGGTTCTCCCTTGGGGTTGTTTAGATTCTTTTTGCCCCACTTGATAATACTGTTAGTGTTTGTTCTTCATTGCTGCTTCATTGCACTATAGAGACCAGACTCACACTGGCAGTCTGTAACTGCTATTTGCTGGAATGGGTTTCTTACCCATTCTGTAGCAGTAATAATAAATTGGTTTCCATATATTTAACCAATGAGAACAGAAAAACATGCAGTAATTATGTGCAAGCTTGAAAGGTGACTTTGAAGATTTATATGCATTATAAAGCCCACTAACTGATCTATATAGAGACAAAGCAGCAGAAAGAATGTTTTGCATAGAGGTCCCCATCTATGTAATTGTTATCTACACATTTTTATCCTAAATTCTGTATGGGGCCACTCTTTCTAAAGGTGAAAAAGCTTAGCTTCCTTGACACAATATCAATTTCCTCTACTCCACACTGTGTAAACAGCTCTGCTATAGTTTAGTATTATAAGAAGAGTAGGTAAAAAATTTTGTAAATGGTTGTGTATTATGTTAAAACAGTTGAATACCCCTTGGTACCTTGGGCATATGGCCCCAAGATGGCTATGAATGTGGCACAACACAAAATTGTAAACTTAAAAATGTTGATTGTTAAAAAAATGTATCATGAAAATGTATTTGCACTTAGTGAGCACATGCGGCGAAATAAACATTTGACAGGGTCTCTTTACTAGACTTTTATACGTTTTATCTTCCCAAAGAAAAATGTCCCATTCTTCACAATCACAACCTTATTCATGCCATCAGTTTTCCCCAGCACCTACTGTATATATGTGAGCAACTAGTTTTAAGGATGAAGCACATGAAGGGTAAAATTAGTAGCAAAATAACTGATGAGCACCTTGAGAATTCATTGAGAATTACATCTATTCAACCAGATATTAATGCTTTAATTTATCATAAACAGTGTAAAATATCGCACTAGTTTAATGTTGCACTCTTACTTTTATAATAAAAAATATTACAAAAAGAATGAATTTTATAACTGAGATAGGTGCATTATCTACTGTATATCAGTAATCGTTAACTTGAGATCTGCCCAACTTTTTCTGCTCATCAGCTATTCTTATTGTTAGTGTATTTTTATGTATGGCCCAAGACAATTCCTCTTCTTCCAATGTGGCCCAGGAAAGTCAAAAGTTTGGACACCCCTGGATTAAAAGCTCCTTGCTTTAAAAGAATATGCTGCTTTTCAGTTAGGCTTAATGTGTGTAAGGTCAAAATCTTTTATTTCCATTTTGAATAGACTGAGTGGTTAGAAAACTTGTCAGATATTTATTGCTGTGTTTGTTCCCACTGGGGAGATGTGTTCTGGTGACCCTTGTCATTTGGACAAAAAGTGATGGGAAATCCAAAATTATGAAGTGTCACTGTAACACTATTAAAGGGTAAATTTTCCAATTGGGTCACTTGATGTGTTGACAACTATACAAGAGGGGATTCCTCTTCCTGTGGTGAGATTTCTTGTAACATTTTGTTGTCAGTATTGGACAAGGAGTGGTAGTAAATCTCCCCAGTGGGACATAGTGCTGAAAAAAAAAAAACTGACTGGTGTTTTAACAATTTCACCCCCATCAAGAGCCTTTAATGCAAGGTGTTTGCAGCATGCTGCTCTATAGCTCTAAAGACCCCACAAGTTAATTTAAAAGGAAAAACAAGGGGCAGATACTGGGAAAAAGAGGGGTGGGAAATGGAGAGAAGAGAAATGAGGAGAGAAATGGAGAGAAGAGAAATGTGGAGAGGAAGAGGCAACTGTTGTCTCAATGGGAGGAAATAATATTAATCAGTAAAGAATTGGAAAGTCCAGTCACCAGCTTCTCTAGTCTGAACCAGAGGAACCCACAGACATGAGATTATCGCCCAGTCTGGCTGAACACAGTTGGATCAAACAGCTGTCCTTCCATCTCAGAATGTATAATTATTTTAATTTACCTATATTAATAATAACATTTTACTAATTCAATTTATATTAATAATATTATTATTATATTAATAATTTTATCTGCTTTTAGGAGCTGCTTAGAATTCCAGAAGTGTCCATTTTCAGTCAATGGTTGACGGTATTATATATATTTCTATTTTTGTTACATTATAATGTCAGTGTGTATGGGTCGGGTGTTGTTTTTGCAAAAAATGTTGGCTGTCACATTTATTTATTTATTTTTACCAATCATCAATTTGTGATAGATGTTGACGTGTGTTTCAGAACCTCTCAACATCTTTCTGCTCATAACTGAAAATCAAGCCTTAGTTGTATACAGGAGGTATAAGCTTCTAGCGCTGGACTTTATTTTTTTTTTTTCAGGCTTCATATAGTGCAAGAAGTCTACCCATCTGTCTTTTGTCTCAAGCTTGCATCTTCTTTTGATGCAGGAGAGCTATTTTCAATTCCACCCACTCCATGGTCCGTGTGTCCTGTCTGTTACATACTATACAATAATCTAGATATAAAATAAAAATTAAAAAAAAGAGCTCAGCGCTAAGAAGTTTCTTACTGTCACCAATCAGATTCAAGCCTGTAAATTGGTGCTTCCTGCTGTTCTGGCTCAGTGTCTGCTAACATAAGCATGCATGCACAGGACTTTTTTCCAGCAGGAACACGTGGGGGAATGCAGTTCCAGCTTCTCCATCTCTAAATGTATGTAATGGCAAGGGGGCGATGGAGTGTGCTGGAGGGTCTACTGTAGCTGACTGTTGGGGGATTATCGTAGATGGGGGATCTATTGTTGCTGGGGGTCTGTTGTTGCTAGGGAGGTCTATTTTTGATTGGGGGGGCAGTTGTTGCTGGGAAGTATTTACTGTTGAAGGAGGGACCTATTGTTGCTGGCTTCTAAGAGATATATTGTTGCTGGGGTTGATCTATTGTTACTGGGAGGCATATTTTGTTGCTGGGGGGTCTACTGTTGCTGGCTGCAGGGAATCTTTATTGCTTTCCTTGTTATCAATAACACATTCCATAAAAATTATTTGGCACCATAAAATGATACTTGACTCTGTATTCTCTAAGAGGCAGTACTAGGAGGTGAGTAGGTGGTGGAACCAAGGGAGGGCAGGGGGGCAGAGACAAGGGTTGACTTAGAAGAGGGGAGTACTTGGACTTACAGTGGGGCAAAAAAGTATTTAGTCAGCCACCAATTGTGCAAGTTCTGCCACTTAAAAAGAGGAGAGAGGCCTGTAATTGGCATCATAGGTAGACCTCAACTATGAGAGACAAAATGAGAAAAGAAATCCAGACAATCACATTGGCTGATTTGGAAATAATTTATTTGCAAATTATGGCGAAAATAAGTATTTGGTCAATATCAAAAGTTCATCTCAATACTTTGTTATATATCCTTTGTTGGCAATGACAGAGGTCAAACGTTTCCTGTAAGTCTTCACAAGGTTGGCACACACTGTTGCTGGTATGTTGGCTCATTCCTCCATGCAGATCTCCTCTAGAGCAGTGATGTTTTGGGGCTGTTGCTGGGCAGCACGGACTTTCAACTCCCTCCAAAGGTTTTCTATGGGGTTGAGATCTGGAGACTGGCTAGGCCACTCCAGGACCTTGAAATGCTTCTTATGAAGCCACTCCTTCATTGCCCGGGCGGTATGTTTGGGATCATTGTCATGTTGGAAGACCCAGCCACGTTTCATCTTCAATGCCCTTGCTGATGGAAGGAGGTTTGCACTCAAAATCTCACGATACATGGCCCCATTCATTCTGTCCTGTACATAGATCAGTCGTCCTGGTCCCTTTGCGGAGAAACAGCCCCAAAGCATGATGTTTCCACCCCCATGCTTCACAGTAGGTATGGTGTTCTTTGGATGCAACTCAGCTTTCTCTCTCCTCCAAACATGACGAGTTGTGTTTCTACCAAACAGTTCTATTTTGGTTTCATCTGAACCATATGACATTCTCCCAATCCTCTTCTGGATCAACCAAATGCTCTCTAGCAAACTTCAGATGGTCCCGGACATGTACTGGCTTAAGCAGGGGGACACGTCTGGCACTGCATGATCTGAGTCGCTGGCGGCGTAGTGTGTTACTGATGGTAGCCTTTGTTACGTTGGTCCCAGATCTCTGCAGGTCATTCACTAGGTCCCCCCGTGTGGTCCTGGGATTTTTGCTCACCGTTCTTGTGATCATTTTGACCCCACGGGGTGAGTTCTTTCATGGAGCCCCAGATTGAGGGAGATTATCAGTGGTCTTGTATGTCTTCCATTTTCTAATTATTGCTCCCACAGTTGATTTGTTCACACCAAGCTGCTTGCCTATTGCAGATTCAGTCTTCCCAGCCTGGTGCAGGTCTACAATTTTGTTTCTGGTGTCCTTCGACAGCTCTTTGGTCTTCACCATAGTGGAGTTTGGAGTGTGACTGTTTGAGGTTGTGGATAGGTGTCTTTTATACTGATAACAAGTTCAAACAGGTGCCACTGATACAGGTAATGAGTGCAGGACAGAGGAGCCTCTTAAAGAAGAAGGTACAGGTCTGTGAGAGCCAGAAATCTTGCTTGTTTGTAGGTGACCAAATACTTATTTTCCACCATAATTTGCAAATAAATTCATTCCAAATCAGCCAATGTGATTGATTGTCTGGATTTTTTTTCTCATTTTGTCTCTCATAGTTGAGGTCTACCTATGATGCCAATTAGATCTCTCATCTTTTTAAGTGGGAGAACCTGCACAATTGGTAGCTGACTAAATACTTTTTTGCCCCACTGTATTCTCTGAGAAAAAAAAAGCATAGGGCATACATTGACTGAACCCTAGTAACTTTGAAAGTTCCAGCATTTGGTTGTTTCCAAAATGATCACTAAACATCCAATGATGCTGCTACTTCTGTCTGAAATAGGATCCTAGAAAGGTTGTGCTAATAAATCACAGAAACTGCTGATGTTGATGTTTACTACTAGTAAAGGGGGCTGAATAAAAAAGCACCACACACTTTTCAGATATTTATTTGTAAAAACTTTTGAAAACCATTCATCATTTTCTTTCCACTTCACAATTATGTGCCACTTTGTGTTGGTCTTTCACATAAAATCTAAATAAAATACGGTTACATTCTTGGTTGTAACATGACAAAATGTGGAAGGTTTCAAGGGGTATGAATACTTTTTCAAGGCTGTGTATGTATGTGTGTGTGTGTGTGTATGTGTGTGTATATATATGTGTATATATGTGTGTGTGTGTGTGTGTGTGTGTGTGTGTATATATGTGTATATATATATATATATATATTTTTTTTTGTTTTTTTTGTTACAACAGGATTCCAAGTTCAGGATTCACAGTGGAAGTAACGTAACTGCACTAATCCCATCTGATACAGCAATAATGGCTCTAAATCAGGAGAACAGAAAATTTTGGAAGGACTCTTATACGATGCCTTTTTTAATCAGGTAAGAATTCTACCTTCCTCATGTGTACGGTGAAGGGTGGTGGAACCATTCCAGTTCTAATACATCTATAGTTAACTGCTTACGTCGCTAGTAATCTTACAAGCCTGCAAAATTTGCAAGAAATCCCCAGCATATAACCTGTATATGTATATCTAAACTCAAAAATAAAAATGTAGTCTACTGCAGCTTACCAGTCCTCAGATATGGTGGCTGCATAAGTTTGCTATTTGCAGGCTAAGGACATTTTTGGCAAGTACAGAAAATAGCTGTTGCTCGTGTCAGAAATGCAGTGTCCTTGTCACTTCCTGTGAGCTGATGAGATAGCATAAACAATATTATTTTAGTTTTGTAAGCTACTAGTGCTATCAATTCACTGTGTAATGGAGATGAACAAGTTGCAGACATGTCTGAAGTCCAAACTGTGTGACAACCATGGCTACTTCCATAGATACCATAGTGAAGTGTAGAAATGAAGGGACAGGCTGTATGCTATAAGCAAGATTAAAAAGTGAAAATAAAAAGTATTAAAAAGAAAACTAATGCAGCCACCAAATCTAAGTTCTGGTAAGCTGCATTATTACATTGTGTTTTTGGGTTTAGATAACTTTTAACCTAAAACTAATTTAAATTATGCTTGGTTTTTATAAGGGTCTGTGACCACCATTTGAGATATATAAATAAATAAAAATATATTAATATAGTGCATGACCTGACAAATTGTATGCCCAGACATGCTATATTCTATTTTTCTCACATGTATTTTGTGCATCTAATTATTGTAATGTATGTGACCATTACAGAGCACACTTTCTCCATGAAGCTTACATATCAGATCAGCTAAAACAGCATGCAAACCAGGAGATTGCCACCTTGGACCCCAGAACGAAATGGGAGATAAGAGTTATTGAAGGGGTAACTACTTTTCTGTGTGTACACCATTTGTTGTTACTAGAAGGCACATAACAAAGTACCAAGAACATTAACCCACAGCAAACAATCAGGGTTCAGCTGACCTGGGCAAACTAAAATCTGCATTGTAGCTGTATGCTACTGTACTTTGCACAGAATTTTTAATGGATAAGTTCATCTTTTGGACAAAAAATAATAAATGCTAACTTTTTTTCAGGTAAAAAAATGTGCATTTATTATTTTTGTCCAAAGTTGCCTGGAAAGCATAGCACCAGTGATCAGTAGATCACTGGTGCCATATAAATCTCCTGCAGACCTGTCAGAATATCTGCTTGCAGTACAGGATGTACGAGCAAGCAGATATACTGACAGGAAGCTTCAATGAACCACCATGATGCTCCACAGCGCCGTGATAGTTTATTGAAAACTACAAGCCGACAAGCCGCCGGGACTTGTAGGCACTCATTCACAGAACTCTGTAAATGAATGACGTGGCCGTGTGGGCACTGTTCAAATCTAATAGTACGGGGATACCTCTCACCGTAATATATATTAATAAGCTTTATTGTTTTCAAATGCCATAAATCTCAACTGTTCAATATTTTTGGTAGAATAGTGAAAGATTAGAACCACTGGTCTGGATTTTAATGCTGTCTGCATCCCGGCTGAAGAGCTTTGCCCTTTCTTTTTGTCCCAATGACCATTGTCAAAAAAACTTTCCCTGTGGACACCTGTTGTGGTGACAACTGTCTGGAAGAGGATTTATCTTACTTTAGAGAGATCTCACTTCCTATTGTGTCTTGAGATGGGCAGTGAAAGAACCCTCCTCAGTGGTACGCAGACAGCAAAAAAAATTGTCAGAGGTTTTAACTGTTCTCTAATCTATCCAAATTTAAACAAAAAAAAAAAGTTTTGGCTGTGGATATGTTTAACATCATTATTTTTATGTTTCAATATTTTTATTGAATTTTTCAGGGAAAAAACAAGGGAATGAGACATTGTTCATTCATACAATAATGCAATAAAACATTATACAGTTGAGCATTGTTGTTGTTATTCCATTCGTTAGGCAACGGTGGAGTTGGTCTCATTTAGCAATATCATCAGAGGTATTTATATATCTACGAAGAACCTTGGTGAGGAGTTGGATTGTTAGGGGGTTAATTGGTAGGGGAGATGGAGGTGGGGGGAGAAGGGAAGGGGGAAGATATAACTGGGTGGATAAGGATGTACCAGTCAAGGTTTAGGAGGTGTTTTTAACTATATGAGTGTTATCAGGGTTGTACAGAACATTTTGGGTGACTTAACCATCCGGTCCATTTCTGGTTAATAACATCATTATTTTAAAGTGACTTTATTTCTCTGACACAGAGCATTGCCCACAAATTTATGGCTTGATTTTGAAGGACCTTTGTATTTTATTTTTTAGAATCTAACAGTTAATAACGCAAGTGTTATTACCCAAGATATTCCAGCCTCAAATGGATTTATTTTCATTATTGGACAGGTTAGTGTTAAAATCTGGAATCATAGCAGGATGCAGTACATTAAATAAATCAATGTGTGTTAGTAGTGCAGATAGATTTTGAGTCAAGCTGATATCTGTATTTTGGAAACTGTACTTAATGACATGTCCGAGTATTTGAGAATGCATTGACTTAGTCAGTCTACCTGTAAGTACTTGCATATTGTCTTTGAATTGGTCCTGTTCATTAACTCGTTCCTTACCAGAGGTCATTAATGCCGAGTCCAAATTTAGCATTATTTGTATGTGTTGGTTATGAATAGAACTCTATGACTAATTTGCCTATTTAAATCATTTTTTCCCTTCTTATAAAAACATGTAAGGTTTTTTTGGTATATTATTTTAATAAATACCCAGTTTGGGTTTTAATTAAAAGGGCTGCTGGGAAAAAAACGAATGGCTGCTGTATTTGGCAGTATTGGTCACCAGTTTTGCCATGTACACATTATCAGCATAAGACGATATGCTGAGGAACATTAAAAAAAGATTGCAGGTGGGAGGTGGCCCTGCTTCAACAAACACTTATAATTTTTTTTCTATGTTCAGAAGGGAAGGGTTAGCATCTCTGTCCGTTTTTTTATTGCTGTCTGTGTCCTAAGTAGGGGTGTTTCCTCTAGCCTTGTGTCAGCAGGAGACTCAAACAGTAAGTGACAGGAATACACTTCTTCAATTGGCCACAAGCCCCATTACGCCCATATGTTATGCTGGTGTCATTAAGACAGATAGCAAGGGTGATTCTCCTCAATGGAACTGGACAGTAATAAAAACTTCAAAGATCTTCAGACTTCCCTAATCTATCATTCCTAAAAAAAACTGACTTGATTTCTAATTTAAGATACCCATTTCAATGTGTTATTACAAGTTATGAAAAATGATCCTGCAGTATTTGTGCCTCTAACCAATTAAAGTAAGTAACTTGGGGCCTTTTTTATGTAATTCTGTTATGCCCACTCAAGAACTGTGAAAAAGTGAGGTACATTTTTCAATCCTATCACAAGGCAAATAAATAGGAGCAGTGAGACAGATTTATTACAGGGTTACAGCCTTGCAGTCATAAATTCCTCCTTTGGCTGCTCTAAAGTCACCCTTGTGGCTAAATGAAACCTGATCCTGACTACTTCTTTATTATGCATCTGATCAGAGTGAAAGTCTATCTTAGCTTCAGTAAAAAAAAAAATCTGTTTTTGAATTTTGCAAACTGTCACACATGACTGCCCAGGAATACAAGTGTACAGGTCTGTAAACCTGTCAAAGAGATTTTGCTGAAGGAGTCGCAGCCTGATTTGCAACTAATTGTGTTGTTAATTTACTTTATTCATTTCCCCAATGTGTATAATAAACACAAGGTAAGGTGGCAGAAACAGTCATATATTAGGAGGCATCACCACTTGTACTCTGCTATCCTCAGACAAATGAGGCATAGCTTAATATGTAGACAAATATACAGTACATCTTACACATGTTAAGTTTGTGAAATTATAATAATTTAGGCTGGCTATACACAGATTGAATTTAGGTTGTTTCCTGCTGAGTCAGTCGAAATATGATTTGTGGGTGGTCCTACTGGCTACACCCAACTCAACAAACTTTGATCTAAACATCAAAGGAGCCAGGCAAAAAATTGTAGGCCAAACAGTGACTTCAATCAATTGGCTGCATTCTCTTCTCTTTTGCATCGGCTGTCAGAATACAGTAGCTGGCAGGGGAGATTTGTCCTTCTGCACCATATAACGTGGATGGAGGAATCTGTCAGATTCCCATAGGCTTAATGAAAGAAATCTATGTGTCTATGTCCAGGTTAAGTATTCAAATTCTTACATAAGCCCAATTATGACTGATTTTTCTTTATAAATATAATTTTTTAAAAATTAGTTGCTTCACTACCATACTAACCAATGGCTTGAATTCATGACTTTCTCAGCAAGTGAAATTGGAACTTCTGGTGTTCTGCATGACAGCCAGGAAATGTGGAATAATGGGCATGGATGTCTAACTGCTTAAGAGATCAATAAATACAGTAGTGTGATATATACAGATTTTTACTTTATCGTCGGCTTTATAAATTATTTATAGAAAGAGTTAAAATTCAAAGCTACATTCAACCCTTTCTTTAGTACTTAAACAGCATAAAGCGAACCTGTCACCACTGATCCTCCTTTCCAGAGCAGAATTATCTGGCTGTAAGGTTATCCAATCTCCTACTTGAGCTTAGTGCTGATAGTAGACACTCGATAAAACTTTTATGTAACAAAGGTATAAAGAGTTTATGCAAGTAAATGAATGGGTTTGCAAATTGACAGGTATACTCTCATCTGGCATCCTAGATAGACAGTGATTTATCAGCCTTTAGCTAAAGCAGGAGACACATCAGCCTCCTTATAAGGCCTTACAGCCTCACACTGGGGTGACATTTCTATTGTTGCAGAGCTGGAATACAAATGAATTTAAATTGGAATAAAAATGCACACACTCCTGTCTCTGATAGGCGTAAAGCTGCCAAATTACAACAGCAAAAGAGGTTCGATTTTTATTCTTTAATCTTTCTAATCCTGATTGGTTCTCTTTGAACCTCATACAGTTTTTTTTTTACTTTGGTTCTCTTTACGTCTCCAAAAACATGTATTAATGTAGATTCCCTTTCAAAACACTGTACGTTTTTTTTTCCTCCATTTCTGTTTAAGTACACCTAATTTTGATCATTTGTTTACTCATGATTTCTGGGTACATTTTATAGGTACATAGTTAGGTTGAAAAAAAACACTCTATTCTATACCCACTGTTGATCCAGAGGAAGGCACAAAAAAACATATAAAGCATGGTCCTCCAGAAGGTAACTGGATATAACTTGGATCAACAATCTCTGATGTTATTACTTATACATTTTAATATCTGGTTAGGCTTTATTAATTTAGGAATGCATCCAGCTCTTTTTTAAAACAATCTACTAAGCTAGTCAGTTCCTGAGGGAGTCTTTTGCAAATTTTCACAGCTCTCACTGTGAAGAAGCCTTTCCATATTTGTAGGTTAAATCTCTTTTCCTCTAGATGTAAAGAGTGCCCCCTTGTCCTCTGTGATGACCTTTACGTGAATAACTTTACACCGAGTTCACTATATGGACTACTTATGTATTTTACACATGGTGATTTCAGTTCTTTATTTCATGGAGAATTATCCCCATTATCTATAAATTCATTTTGAAATCAAAAAGTGTACTTTTTGTTGTAGCAATATGGAGGCTGATGTGCAGAAGTAATTACATAGAAATCACAGTGGTTTTGCTTTTAACATGTAGTAGAAAAATAACATCTGAAATCAAATTCTTCTTTTCAAGCTTTCAAAGGAAAGACCGTGTATGTCTGAGCCAAAAAAAAGCACATTTCTGCAATATATTTGTTGTTGGGATATTAGTGCAGCTGAACTTGCAGCCTCTTTAAAGAAGCATGAGGACAAGTTCATGAGTTACTGGGATGTACTGCTTTCTTTATTAATTTTTTCAATATATATAATCTTAATATGTGCATTCAAAATGATAGTATAAGAACTTATAATGAAACAGTTTTGTCCTCTCAGGTTTTAATACCACCCTTAGGAAATATACCTCCAAGGCAACCAGGACTGTTGAAAAAATTAGAGCAAGTTCCAGCATGGGAAAGATTTAAACTAGAAATTCAGGTAAGTCTATTTCTACCCTGGACAGGAAGGAAAATTAAAGCAGAACTAAAGACTTAAGAAAAAACAATTGTGAACAGGCAGGCTGTTTAATGCAAAAGAGACATGCAATGTCTTAATTTTACCTAGGTGAAATTAAGTCTTGGTTCATGTAATCCTCTTCACAGATGGGCTAGAATTGGGTGGGTCAAAACTCTGAACCAATCAAAGATCTATCACTTTGTTTAGCAATGTCACTCTACCATCTTGAGCATGCTTACAGGAGGAGGGATGGCCTGCCTGATAATTTGTTTTTGCGCATTCTTCACCATGAGCAGTGGGTGGGCTGGTGGCTAAAACTGGCCATACTCGTGTATATTTTCAAACAAGAATATTTGTAAGAAAATTCTTTGAACATTCGATGAATGGATGAATGTCATTCCAAAAATTATCTTTTGCTTTTAACAGTTGTTTTTAAAATGAATGTAATTTCTGAATGATAACCACCTACACTGGCAAAAAATTAATTTGATTGAGAAAAGTTTTCCTTCCTTTCCTTTCAAATTTTCCCTTCACTGCTGTCGAAAACCAACATCAATTTGATCCTACTAACGATTAGAAAAATCAAACGAATATTCTTGAAATGAAAATTCTCAAATGAAAATCTATGCATATATGGCCAGCTTAAGCTGTAGTTGCTGCCTGCAGCAGAGAGAAGTGAGGTTAGGATATGCAGTCTAATGCTCCATACACATGATAAGAATGTTGGATGAATGATCATCCATTTTTTGTTTTTGCTTGCTAGTCTCCATATTGAAAATTAAAAGGGTACTGAACTTACGAAAATTTTCGTAGGAAAAAAAAAACATTTCAAAAGTGAAGTAATGTATTGTATTTGTATTGTATTTTCGGACGACTACTGTGCTGATTAAATGAATATCATACTAGCTGCTATCTTACAAGAAACATTTTCACGCTTGTCCCTTTGGATACTGTCGCATTAATTTCATGATTGGGTCTCAAAAGCAGTGTACTAATGATCAGATTATCAGACGATTTTCTTATCATGTGTACGGGCCATATACTGTATGTGTTTCCACTATGTATTTAGTTGTTTGCCTTGTAACCTGCTTTAAATAAGTGGCATATATCATTCTGTTTAGGACATATTCTCATAACCAACACAATCTTCTATAGCAGCTAAACTTTCTTTCTTACACAGAACAGTGCTATATTATTACAGTGATGCTTATATTCGGATGGGCTCTAAGACCTGTCCTCCATGCTGAGCTGCTTTTTGCTGCATGTGTATCCATCTCGGAGCTGCAATTAAACAGCACATAGAAGGGCATGCAGATGGAGCAGGTGCATGGACACAGTCACATGTCAAAATTTGACATGTGGACAGCAGCAGGTGTACGGATACAAACACAGACACAGGTTTGGATTTGTGCACCTGCACCTGCTGGCATGTCAAATTTTAATGGTTGACTGTGTCCATGAGGCCACTGCATCTGCACCCATTTCTATGGGCTGCCTACACACATCTTCGAGTTGGATGCACATACAGCAAAAAGCAGCTCAGCATACAGGACAGGTAAGTCCTTCATTTGCCACAGCCATTTTCATACCAAATATTGTAAAGTACCCCTAAAGTTGCTTTAAGTGCCCCTGGGGGAACTCGTATCACAGGCTAGGAACCACTGTTCTATCTAAAACAAAATAAAATTCTTTGGCTGATGTTGGTAATATCACATGGCTTTGACGATTCTAGTATTCATTGCAGACAAGTGTAACATTTCTTCCTTGTTTTGTGTACAGAAATCAGGTCTTGTTCAGGAAATTGAAGCATCTCAACGCTATACGATCTTTGTCCCTGATAACTCTGCTATAAAGAAATTTTACAATCAAACTGATTTGGGCAACTTGGTAACCATATGTCAATATTAAGTATAAATTATTAAAGCATTTAAATTATATTATTTACTGTGGTTTGTTAGTATTTTTCTTATGTTTGTTTTTTTTATTTTTTATATGAAGTAAAAAGTTCAGCCCTCTCCCAGTTTACACTGCTGCAAACTGAGCATAGCCTGTAGCCAGAAATCCTAGTGTTACTGCACGTGTGAACCGTGATGGCTACCCATCTCCCTTCTGGTTAAATCCCCTTAACTCTACAAGTGTCTGTAATAACCCATAGCAAATGATCATATTCACATCTGCAATAAAATAAATATCCAAAGGGTTCCTACATAAAATTGTTAGATTTATACTTTAACTGATTTTTTTATATTTTTTTTTCAATTATATATACAGTCAATATCTTACAAATAAACATATAATACAGGATGCACCCAGGACATATGAGCTCCAGAGCACTATGAGGCTTATTTATAAAATGGTGAATGTGACATTCACTAGACATTCACTGCAAGTTTATCTTCCTTGTGCATATTTCAAATTACAGTGATTGATACACATGCAGTGAATATTTGGTGAACTTCACTTTCACTGCTTTAAAAAATTGCTCCAAATAGTTTTTTTAATTTTTACCAATAATAATTTAATTCAGGATGCACGATGCAAGGATTCCAGAGCATTATGAGTTCTATAATGATAGAGAGCACAGCATAGGTTGTTTTTCTTTCAGACATTCTATCTATGATTTAAGATTCTGATGGAGCTGACCGAAGAGGGGGGCAGTGATGGAGAGTCACTGCTCTGACTCATTCACTGAGAATTTCAGCTAGAGCTACTGAGCTCTGTACACATTAGGCTTTTTACAATAGGAAGCAAGGAGACACTGCAAACCACATGAAAAGGAGACTAAAGCTCCACCTGCTGGTGTTTTTTTTTTCTTTGTGCATATAATTTTGTCTCTTGATGGGAGATGGGGATTAGTTGCACATAAAAGTGATTGAGCACTACAAAAAGTATTTCTATTCATTTAAATGACACTTTGGATACACTTAATATTCTAAATGCCTCTTTATACCTGCTTGCTTGTTAAGAACAGTGTGATCTAATTAAAGTGCAGAATCCAACTTTGTATTTTAGGATAACAGCACAATAAAATATCACATAATTCTGGGTGAGAAACTGTTGCCTGCAGACCTAATGAATGGGATGCATAAATCCAGCATGCTGGGCTTATCTTACTGGCTGATGTTTTTCAAAAGGTACAACCAGGTACAGTACAATAGTCTACAACAGTCAAAGTGTTGTTATATACATTAGATAAAGTTTATGTATAGTCAAAATGTTTCTTTTTAGTTTTGCATAGAGTTTTTTTGCTGCCTGTTCCTTCCCTTCACTTTCTATCCTGTAGAGGAAATTTCTTTAGGGTGAGGAAATCCCTTGTTAAAATGTTATCAGTACAACAGTACAAACATTTGCAATGTTAATGCTTGGGACCTTACAAATAATCCCTGTGGTTTGTTTAATTTGTTTGTTTTTGACCATTGTCAGCTCCATCTTGAAATACCTCAATTTTCCTGATTGAGGTATTTGTAGATGGAGCTGATGATCATAAGAAATAGAAATATTAGACAAATTATGAAGTTTATTTATGACAGCAGTGTGAATGATTAAGATATTTGCACAGCAATGTTTTATAGATAGATTCCTATATGTCCCCTTTAACAGAGCAAAAACAAAAGGGAAATCTGTTGACAAACTCAAACTTTTCGATTTCCTATCATGCTATCTCAATGACACTGATCAGAGAGGACACAGTGGGAACACAGATAGCAATAAACACTTGACTTGGCTTCTTAACTCTTAGGCAAGCCATAGATTATGCAATTTTCTTTCATTCAACCTAGTATTGAAGAAAATAAAATCACTTGATTCCTCCATCAGCACAGTCAGTGTTGATGGGGGAATCCCTCCCACTGCGCTGGTGTAGTCTGACAGCAGGAGGTTTTGCACCGTCAGAATACAATGAGCACTGTTGGTGGCTTCGGCCCCCAGCAGTAATCGTATGAAAAACCCTGGCAGGCTGGTTGTACTGAAGTCAATCGATCAACTTCAGTACAGTCTTCCCATAGATGGATCGATAAATAGATGGATTGAATTTTGATCAGTCTATGATCAGCCTTACTATTTAAAAAAAATGCTTTGGCTATGTAAACACTTTCTGCAAACTGAAAATGATAATTCCACATGTGAACAACAAAAATTATAAATCTGTACCATAAGGCTTTCAAATATTTTGCAGCCTGACTTTTTCTAGTTGAGTTTTCTGCTATCTAGTTAGGTAGATAGGACAGATATAAATTATTTACTTGTTCTTTTTTTTTTCAGACATTTGTTCATGATGTTTCACTGGATGGCAGCTTTTATGAAACAAATAATGGAATGCTAATGGGAATATCTGAAGTTTTAAAAGCCTTGAAAAACCGCTGTGATATTTCAGAAACAATAGTTAAAAAGGTAAAGTAGGCTTATACTTAGCTGGATCTTCACCAGAAAACACTCAGTCCTCTTCAACGTATAAAAGGTCTTCAACCTTTTATTATATTGCAAGCCACATTTCAATATAAAACTTGGCAGTAGGTAAACTAAAGTGTGAAAAATATCTTCAGCTGCTGAAACAATGCCACAACATAAAAACCTCAAAGACAGCTGGGATCTAACTCTCAAGCCATTTTTTTTTTACCAACAATGCTTGGTTTCTTCAGAGACCATATCCAGAATAAAGCAATGTATCTACTGTATCAAAATCCTAATCCTTCTTCTTTCCTTAAAATACCAAAATGAACTGCCCAACTTACTACTGAGTTAGGTTTCTTTTGTCTTAATATTTCCATAAACTAGCCAAACACCTGCCATGTTAACTATTTTCCCAATAAATGACCAAATATCTACCAAGTTAGGTTGCATTTGTCCTAATTTCCCCATATACTGCCAAATATCAGCAAAGTTAGGTTGCTTTAGGCATAGCTTTCTGATAAGCTGTCTAAATATGGTCAGATCCACAGATACAGTGCCTCCACTGTGTTACACATTGGTGACAGGTACACATTAGGAAGAGACAGTTTTTTTTTTTTTCTCTATTAACACTGCAAAGGGTTATGTGTACAACATACAATATATCCCCACCTGTTTATGGTACTGATACTTTTTTAACTTTTTATGTAAGTACTTGTAAAAAATTTTTTTTTTCCAACATACATTTCTCTAAGCCCAGTCTTTGTTCTACAGACAAAATGCAATGCCTGTGGAAAACGCATTCAGTGTCCAGAGGGAACAGATCTTGAGGTGAGTGTGCAGTTTATTGTCTATACTGTCCCTCAGAAAACATTTTTAAATATTGTTAAAGTAAAATTCCAATACAGTATGAATAAACCTCATCGGCCCCCAGAAAGAGGACTACCTGTGCAGCAGGGAAGACATGGCCAGCTGGAAAGCGTGGCCAGCTAGAAGGCCTGGTAGCAGCCACCAACCCATCCACTCACAGACGGAGGACTGAGTGAGTAGACTTACACCGCCTGGGCCAGTAAGGGAAAGGAGCACTTCAGTGGGAAACTGGATTAGCTGCCTATCTGGGACTGTCTTATATTTGGAGTGACAGGCACTGGATCCCCTGTCCAGGGATTCTTTCAGGCAGCCGGATTAGGAGAATCTGGGATGGTACTACAGGAGATGCTGGCTAGCTCTCCAAGAAGAGGATTTTTGCTGTGAAGACTTGTACATACTTCCAAGAAGTTGTCCTCAGTTACTATACATTTGGGCATCCCACACACCCCTTTCCCTATCCAAGTTCAATCCCCTAATAAAATCCAAAAACAAGCTCAAAGACTGGTTACTGTCTCCTGGATGCAAGTCTGTGTGGAAAATGCATGTTGCCTGGCTGTTCAGGACTGTAGGGGGACCCAAAACCTAAGCAACTCCTAAAGGGGTAGTGCTACACAGGTAATACAAATATGTATATACTGTCTGTATTTTAGCTGTGTATTCAACTCTGTTAATATAGTTCTGTTTTAAATTATATTTTTTATTTTTAAAAGATTTAAGAAAAATGTCCATACTAGTATTTGCTGTTTATACATAGGGATATTATTGTATGATAGTTTTATGATAGTGGTTAGATTGCACAAACTGTGCAGTAATCACTATCCTGTATGGACATGCTTTTATACACATATAGTGAAGATTAAAGTAGAACTGAAGGCAAAACTTTTTTTTCCCATTTTTGATAGAGTAAGGAAGGGTTATATCTTCTGTTAAGTTTTTGGGTGTTTTTGCTTAGATTTCCTTTCACACCAGGACTACCAGAGAACTAATTTTCCCATTGGAAGATATCCCCTATATTCCTTTTCTGGTGACAACCCAAAACTTGGGATTTTTTTCCACTTTCTCTCTTCGAAATAATGGTAAACACAACAAATAAAGAAGGTGAAACCCCCTAACAGGGAGCAATCAGACAGACAGCAAATAAGACCTGACAAGTGTTCGAGTCTCTCTCCACTCAAAAAAAAAAAGTTTTGCCTTTAGTTATACTTTAATGGTAGGGGTTGTGGCAGGGATCCAAGCTTGTCTGCAGAAAGAGAATATCTCCATATTTGTGATAAAGTAACGTAAAAAGTCCAATGTACATGTAATTCACCAGTATATATTTTCCACACAGGACCCTATGGGTTCAGGCAGATGTAACTACAAAAGGAGGAACAATGATTTGGTGGGCTGCAGATTCAAATGTATCTTCACAAAAGTTGTAAGTACATTGTTTTCAGTTTGAGTACTAAATCTAAGAATTTACAGTGTGTTTGTAAAATGCTCCAGTATGATCACGATTGACTATATAACAATTTAATAAGATGGTTCCTCATACCTGCAAAAACCTAGATAGTGATGACACTTGCCCACCCCTTCCTTCTTGCTGCACATTCCTATCGGCCGGTGAAGTTGCCCATCATAGTGATGGACCAGTA